ATATGCAGCTGCACATCTTGTACAAATTGAATATGAATTATTAACACCAACAATATTTACAATTGATGATGCAATTGAACATCAATCTTTTCTAGATAATGAACGATGTCTTCAACAAGGTGATATTGAAAAAGGATTTTCTGAAGCTGAAAATATTCTTGAAGGAACAATATTAATTGGTGGTCAAGAACATTTCTATTTAGAAACAAATTGTTGTATGGCTATACCATCAAATGATGATTACGAACTTACATTATATTCATCAACACAAAATCCAAGTAAAACTCAAGAATTAACTGCATTAGCACTTGGTTGTGATGTTAATCATGTAGTATGTCATGTTAAACGTATGGGTGGAGGATTTGGTGGTAAAGAATCAAGATCGTAAGTCAAATAAATTGAATAATATGTGATAGAGTTTTAATATATATATATATATATATATATACATAGAATTACTCCAACAATTGCTATAGCAGTAGCTGCTGTAAAAGTTGGTCGCCCTGTTCGTATGAATATTGAACGTGATGTTGATATGTGTGTTACTGGACAACGTCATCCATTTAAAATTAAATATAAAGTTGGTTTTACAAATGAAGGTCAATTTAAAGCACTTGATGTTTATTTATGGAGTAATGCTGGATGTTCATTTGATCTTTCAATGCCAGTTTTAGAACGAGCAATGCTTCATATTGATAATACTTATCGATTTCCAAATATTCGAGTGCGTGGACGTTTGTGTAAAACACATTTACCATCAAATACAGGTTTGTTTATTAAAAGATTCTATTAAAATTCATTATATAATTTCATTTGTGTACCTAATAGTTAGTGTAAGTTTCAAGTCGAACTTTTGTGACTCTACCTATTATACCAGACCTTAGCCATTGAGAGTGAAAGATGCTGAATAGCATTAATAACAAGACATACAAGAAAACCTCCCTTCCGATTTCAATGACTTTTTTCCCTATAGATACTTTAGAGTGTTCTAAAACAAAACCTTAAAAGAATTTGAGTTTCTAAGAAAATTTGACTAAGCTATCGACTTTTTAATATGTCTATTTTGTGGGATCCTACAGGGTTTCTCGATAGTTTGGTCAAATATCAATAGAAATCCAAATCCTTTTAGAGTTTTTATTAGAATACTATATAGTATCTATAGACAAAAAAATTCTTGAAATTAGAAGGGGAGAAAGCTGAAGAGGTTCCTTCATTGGTTGTTCTAGAATATTTCAAAGTGTTTCTTGAAATCCAGTTGATTAAAATACATTTGCAAATATTCTAGATAATGCAGTTTTTTGATGGGTACCGATACATTGATGTGTTACAGTCGTCATATGGTTAAGAGAAAAAGAAAAGCATAAACTAATCAAGTTATAACTTTAGGAAATAATCAATATCAGGATTTGTGAGCTTATTAAAAATATTTAATAATGCATTGAGACCTACTATAAATATGTACAAGAGGCTTATTTGCAAGTTAATTCAATGATTAAAATAATAATAATAATTGTTAAATTAATATACATACGACAGATCGTTTCTCTAGTGATTGATTTTCCTTGGAAATTATTTTATAGTTTGCAAGAGAGATTTTTCATTTGATATATTTTATACTAGTATCATGAAGATAGAGAACACATTTCAATTTTAATTTTTTTTTATTTCAGCTTTTCGTGGTTTTGGTGGTCCACAAGGTCTTTTTGGTTGTGAAACAATTATTGATCATGTTGCTAGACATCTTAAATTGGATGCACTTGTTATTCGTCGTTTAAATATGTATAAAGAAGGAGATTTAACACATTTTAGTCAACCATTAGAACGATGGAATATACCTCGATTAATGGATGAACTTGTTGAATCAAGTGATTTTCTTCAACGACAAAAAACAGTTGAAGAATTTAATAAATTAAATACATATAGAAAACGTGGTATAGCTATACTTCCAACAAAATTTGGTATTGCATTTACAGCTAAATTTCTTAATCAAGCTGCTGCATTAGTTCATGTTTATAAAGATGGTTCAGTATTAATTAGTCATGGAGGTATAAAATAAAGACAAAAACAAAAACATACATTAGAAACATTTGTCTGTTTTTGTTCTTCTAAATTTAGGTACTGAAATGGGTCAAGGTCTTCATACAAAAATGATATCTGTAGCTGCTGAAGTATTAGGTTGTAATGTTAATCGTGTACGTATTAGTGAAACAGCTACAGATAAAGTAGCTAATACAAGTCCAACAGCTGCATCTGCTTCATCAGATTTAAATGGTATGGCTATACGTATAGCATGTGAACAAATACGTGAACGTTTAAATAAACTTGTTAGTGGTGATGATATACATCTTCCATGGGAAAGTCTTGTAAAAAAAGCATATTTTTCACGTATTGATTTATGTGCACATGGTTTTTATGCAACACCAGAGCCATTAGGTGCAGATTTTTCACAAAATCGTGCAAGTTTTAATTATTTTACACAAGGTACTGCGGCAGCTGAAGTTGAATTAGATACATTAACAGGTGATTGGCATATTTTACGTGTTGATATATTTATGGTAAATATTCTTTTAAGAATTAAATTTATTATTTTATCTCATTTTCTTTTTAGGATGTTGGTACATCACTTAATCCTCAAATAGATATTGGTCAAATAGAAGGTGCTTTTATACAAGGTGTTGGTTTATTTACAATGGAAGAACTTATATGGGGTGATCATAAACAATATAAATGGACAAAACCAGGTGCTTTATTTACTCGTGGACCAGGTACATATAAAATACCATCATTTAATGATGTTCCAATTGATATGCGTGTTGAACTTCTTTCTAATGCACCAAATCCTCTAGCTATTTATTCATCAAAAGCTATTGGTGAACCACCACTTTTTCTTGGTGCTGTAGTATTTTTTGCACTTAAAAATGCTTGTATGGCTTATCGAGAACAACAAGGTTATTCAGAATATTTTCCATTCAATTCACCAGCTACGGTTGAACGACTTCGTATGGCTTGTACGGATGAATTTACTCAACGTGCATGTATTGATAAACATGAAATATTTCAAGCTCGAGGTTCTTATTAAATGACATTCAATTAATTCTTATATATTCTTAATAATTGATTAATTCAACAATTTAAAGAAAAAAAAAAGAACAACAACACACACGATGAATTATTTCAATTCATTCATGCTCGAATAAAAACAGAAAAAAATAACCTACGTAGTATTTATAATTGATATAGAAAAAAATAATAAATATGTTGTTTGTTTTTCTTTCTTTTTACTTAATCATGTCCTTGGATGTGAAATATATAGATATTATTGATTAGGTGAAAAAAAATGCAAAGGTAAAAATGTTTCGAACAAGTTATCATGTCATAAGATAGAATATGTAATTAACACATATGACAGAAAAGTATGACTATCAAAACAGTATATATTTATATTTGATGACCAAATAATTCGTCGTGAGCATACCGGTGTGAGTAAGAATCTTTTGTGTATCGTCGCTCATTTACTTTCAATATTCGTTCCGGATACTTTAAAACTAATATATCATGTGATGAATTGTTCTAATACTTTTTTTGTCTTTCAAATTGTTTAGCATTAGAAGAACCTTTTAAAAATTAAATCGAAATATTCTATTTGAAATCTTAGTATAGAATTTATGCAAATGAATCATACAAAAAAGAAACACTCATATGATTAAGTTTATAAATTATACAACAAGAGAAATTGTATATGACTGGATCAAGAGAATATGTAGTTCTATACGAGTACATTTGAAACATAATATTATTTGTAAATATAGATTTATAGCTAATTGTAATTCTTCCAATATTGTCCCTTTTGTTCTATATATTCGCTGAAATTGTTTTTTTTTCTAAATAAGTCCAACAATATTTAATTGAATACAAACAAAGGTTTAATTATAATTTTACAACAAAAAATTCTTTCAAGTAATTGCTGAAAAAATAACATTGGTGAGATATAAGGAGCTGCAAATCCACAAAAATGTGTATCCAAATCCAATAAAAACTAAAATTCTAGACCTCGACTCGCAGCTCTCTAATGAGATGTATTATTGATACAATGAAAAGTGCTTGATTTAAAAATTAACTAAACCATGTTTTACTAATTCTGAATGATATTTGATTTAAAACATTTTAACATTGGTAAATAAAGACATGTGTCATATATTATAATTCTTGAGTATCAATAATAATTCAAAGGATGATTCTAACCTTTGGAATATAATGTAATTTTTCGAAATTTGAAACGTATAATCGACTACTTTGATAAGTATTTGAAGGTTTCAAAATAATTATTTATTTATTAAACGTTATAGTTCTTTTCATTAGCAATTTTGGTAAAATTTTTTTATAACATCATACATAAATCGCAGTGTTACAGTCAAAAAAAACCATCTAGAAAACACCATAGCTCTACGAAATAACTGCGATTTATATATCAATTTATAAAAATATATACGAATATTATCAACGAATTGAATTCTATAACGTCTAATGAATGAACAATTATTCTAACAACCTTGAATTTTTATGATCAACAACCTAATATCTAAAATTTCATTACTTCATAGGCAACAATCATATCTTGAAAGTATCATTGATATTCCGAAATTTTTATTTTCATCTATCTTTCATCTAATGTAAAATTGACTGCATTTTCACTATTTGAAGTCACAGTATTGCTTCACCTGAAAAAATATGATTACTTATTTTTACAACCTGTAAGCGTATCTTTTCTTTTTCAGTTAAGAAGTTGTTATGTTTCATAGGCAGTGTAAGGTATACATTTATTGATAAATATTTACGGTAATAAAGAAGGCAAAAAAAGCAAAGCTTTTATTAAACGTCGTTCTCTTTCTTTGATTTCTACTTTTCGTTCTTCTTCTGATTTCATTTCTGATTAATTACAAATATAATTCAATTCATAGATGAAAAATTGAATACGTCGAATCGAACACATTGGCGTTAACATGCAATTTTTATTATATCTTCTTATTTTCACTATTACTTTTTCTTATACAATAACTTCTGATTTATCAACAAAATTTAATATCACTATAAAAATACCAGAAAATACAACATCTCTTAGACAATTACCATATGTATATATATATATTGTTTAATTTCTTTATAGTTTAATTTTTTTTTTGTTCTTTTAGAAAACAGTACATGTAAAATATACGCTCCCTAGCACTGATGATCAATGGATTATTGGTAAACTTTTTACTTTATTGGATGTAAAGTTTCTCCTTCGCAATAGAAGACCCCAGATCTTCTTTTGTGTCTTATTTATTTCTATCATTTTTAATTAAAAAGATTTTTTAGAATGCTGGCTTTAAGAGGGGAATTATGAAGGTCATCAAGTATACTAGGCATTCAATAAGTTATTTTTTTATTTTCGTTTGTGCACGCAATACAACTGATGCGTGAAACTACTCACCTCAAAATATTAGCGAAATCATTCAAATTTTTTCATAAATTGTACTAAAAGATACTAAATTGAAAACTGAACAAAATGAGCTATTTCAATATAATACAGTTTTTATTCGACTCAGATTTTTGTAAGGCCAATATGAATAAACAATGATTCTTTCGATGAGTCTAACATGTCCATTACATAACAATCTATCTCCTATTGGAATTCATCATGTGAGAGTTCTAAGCTGAATTTTTATATATGTTATGCAACTCTTTTGTTCTCTACAAAATGATAAAAAAGATATTTGAAAATAAATAGTCCATTTGGACCGGAACTAGGTTCACCTCTCTCTCTCTCTCAGACATATTTGTTTTTGATGTATTTTTCAATAGGAAAAATATTTTTTTAGCGCTTTTCATTGCCGTGACACAATTGCAAAGCAAAGTAAACACAACATTCCGAATCAGTGTCAAAAACTACATGAAATCAAACGCATTTTAGAGATTTTTTTTTCCGGTGAAAAATTCACCTGTAGTTCCCTAGGGATAAGTTTTTTTTGCAGGAAACGAATTTCTCTAAAATGTGTTTGATTCAATGTAGTTTTTAACACTGATTCCAGATGTCTTGTTTATTTTGCTTGACAATTGTGTTATGGCAATGAAAACTGCTAAAAAAATAAGATGTTTTCTTTTCTATTGAAAAATCATTAAAAATCATTATACAAGAGAGACTATCTTTTAGTATAGTTTGTAAAAAAAATTTCAATGATTTATTGAAAGGAAAATAAACACAACTTTTACAAGGTATTTTTTTTCGTGTTCTATTCTTATAGGGATGTGATAGTAGTAATGTTCTGAGTTTTCATTAAATTGATTAATTAGTTGGGGAGAAAAGTGGTTAGAAAAAGAAAATAAACATGTTCTTTTTATGATTTAAGTGTCATGTCAGTAAAAATATTGATTTATTTTTAGAATACAAAAATATTCAACGGAAATTAATTAATATGCGTACATTTTTCTTTATTCGCTTCGTAATTTTTAAATAGAATATTTACCTAAATGAATGAGTTTTGTAAATTAAAAACACATAGTAAAATATGAAGATTTTTATACATATATTTTGATTATATATTTTAGTTGGAATAGAACCATTTATTCAATCATTAAATGAAGAGATTCAACAAATGACTATTCATCTTTGTCACTTAGGAACCCATACTCATCAATATGATACTATTTGGTAATAGATATTTGACGATGAAAAATTAAAACATATTATATAGATTTTTTTTTAAAGGTATAATGATGAAACAATTTGTAAAAGTGGTCAATCAATGTTAATTTATCAATGGACATCATATTCATCATTGACTCGTTATCAAATGGATAATGGTAAGAATAAATTGATTTATTATATGATTGAATTAATTTTTAAAAAAAATAGATGTTGGTTTTCAATTGGATAAATCAAAATTAATTGTATTTACGATTACTTATTTTAAAGAACGACAGTTGGATAATGACCAATCAGGAGTTATTCTTTATATTTCAACTGTAAAGTATGTTTCATTTTTCTTTTTTGATAATGTTCTTTGAATTACATGAATTTTGTTAAGTGAAAATTGGATATAGTTTTTTATATTGATCAGTACCATGGATATAAAACGATATTGTTAGATGTGTACTAGAAGTACTTTATAAAATAAAGTTTAATAGAGAAGCAGAAAAAAAAAATTATTTTCCGTAGAAATACGAAGTTCAGAGATCGACTTATAAGACAATCTTTTCATTGAATGACTTTATTATCTTATACACTTTTTTTTCCATTGCGTATTATTTTCGAAAATAAACTTTTCTTATGGCTTTAGTTATTCTAAAATAAATAAAATCTTTATTGTTTTTCTCTTTTTCAAAAGATTGAAAAAGATAAATTAATTACTCTTAATATGATATATTTGAATTAAGTATTTTCTTTTGGTTAAATCCCAAGACTAAATTCTTGATCTGGCGATTGTCATTAGTCAACTTTCTAATATTGTAAACTCGAAATATTCAGAAACGAATTGAATTAGAAGTCTTCATCATCATTATTGGGAGGGGAAGCAACTTCGACATATATGTATTTAATCAAAAATTGCAAATGTTCAGAATCCTCTGATCATACGACTGACAAGAGAAGTCCTCCAACCGTTCAATTACTTTTTGAGTTGAAACTATATGCATTATATAGACCCAAATGAACTATGAATATCCTGAAAAGAATTCATACTCTTAGATTATTACTGCGGAGATACTGCACTTTTACGATAATTTTTTGTGTGAATGTCGTGGTAATAGAAAAATTGAGTTTTGAGTTTCGACTTCAGACTTTGCATAGAAACAGGCCTTGACGAAAATAGAATGTGTCAGATCTTGCCATTGTTCCTATCCTGAGATATAACTTGTGTTTTATCTCGGTTTTCTCTTTTGGAGGGGCAAACGCATATTGTTAAAAGTACAGATACATAGCATATGGCACAATAGTGACAAGTTCCCAGGGGTCTAACCCAATCTTCGGAGAGCCACCATATTCCTCTGCCTTCATACTAGATAAAACTCTGAATACAACTATGGTAATAGTAAGTCTTTTACATCGTTCATGTAAACTGGTAGATTTTATGTTCTTATGTCAGGAAAGAGGCAAATCAACACACCTCAAACTTTCACAATAAACTATTCTTTTTAAGACTTGTGTCTACGCAAAGTTTTAAGTCGAAATTTGAAGATTAATTTTTCTGTTACCATGGCATTCACTTAAAAATCTCGTAATAGTCTAGTATCTCAATAGCAATAAGCTAATAGCACGAATTTTTTGCAAAGTATTCAGAGCTCATTTTGATTCTACATAATACACGTAGTCTCGACCTAAAAGCGATTTATCAATTCAAGAATTTCTCTGGTAACAAGAATCTAGAAAAACATGTTGTTGTTTGTTTTATTCAGACCACGATTCTATATGGGTACAATAGTTGTTGGAAATAAACAACAACAAAAACGTATGTATAAAATCTATTTTTATATAAATAAATATCGAATTTAAAAAGATTTTTCATGTCGTATATCAAATTATCCACGTTTATTATATGATATACAACCATTATTTCCAGCAACTAATCAAGTATGGTTACGTATTTATACTATACGTCATCGTATATTTGGTCGACGCATTGTTCAATCTGTTTTTAATTCATTAATATTATCAAATCAAAATGAAACTAATATTGGAATTCTATCAAAAGATATATTTTTAAAACCAGACGATTATTTAATTATTGAATGTGAATTAATTTCAGCAACATATTGTAAATTTTTAATTTTTTATACCTATAAAAATATTGAATTAGAAAATTTTATTAAAACTGATCATACATGTCACAATAATGATTATCCAAATTTATTTGAGTTTGTTTCCTTTTTTTTTTGTTTCTATTATACATGTTTTTTTTTTCGATTTAATAGATTAATGCCATCAAGAACGTCATTTGAAATAGATCCAATTTTACCATCTAAATCGAATAAACGTGGAATAACAAGTAATTTATAAAAATAAAAATAAATTTTTCTACAACTTTTTATTTAGTATTTTTATTGGTTGTTATTTTATTATTTGTTATTTGGACATTAATAATATTGGGTTGTGTTATTATGCGTAAGATCTCCTTTTTTTTTGTTTTATTAATTATTTAGATCTCTATTATTATTATAACTAGGTCGTGCTCGTGGATTAGCTAATTTTCGTACAGAACCATCAACTCCAATTCGAACAACTCAAACTACAAAACCAACTTTTGTTGAACAACGTCCTACTGATGATCAAGTTCAACAACAAAAATTGATTGCTGCAGGTGATCGTATAGCTCAAATCGATACTGAACCTATGGGTTTAACGCATTGATAGGTCAAATGTATTCAATTATTTTTATTCTTTTCTTAATGATTATTGTTTTTATATTGAAATGTAGATGTATGCATATATATAATAAAATTCTTTCATATTTAAGACAAAGTAGCACCAGCTATTGTTTCAACCCATGATTTATAAGCTGAAACACGTGTATAAACACCACCATCACCACATCCAATACCCCATGATGTTAAACCAACAAGAACATATCGACCACTACGTGCAGGATCAGCAACAATCAATGGACCACCAGAATCACCCTAGAAGTTAAAACAAAAAAATAATAAGATTGAAAAAGAAATAAATAAAGAATTTCTTTTACTTGACAAGCTCCTGCTTTATTTCCACCTGAACATATTTGAGTATCTGTATTGATCATACCTGTTGAATAACGTCCTTTACATGCACTATCAGTTAACACTGCTGAAGTTACTTCATTTAATTTACGTAGTACACTACCACCTAGAATTCAAAAAACAAATAGATTGATAATTCTTTAATTTAATTGTTATCACCATAAAATTGTGCACCCCAACCAATTGTATATCCTATTTGACCATCAAATGTTTGATCAGCATTTGGAAAACAAACAGGCATATAATATTCAGTATATGTATCAATTTTAGCCTAGAAAGTAAAGATAATTTTAATTTAAGTATAAGCCTTTCGTTCCATGGCAAACATGAAAATTAAAATGGCTTTTAAGACTTACTATCTAAAAAAAAACTCGATTTTTGACTTCTTTCTTTCTCAAAATATTTTTTCTATGAGTTTAATCTGCTTGTAATTATCTTATTTCTAGTTTATGCTCAGACTGTAGTTGCATGTTGGAATGTGCAAGACATCTTCGGACTTAACAAGAAATTCATTCCATTGATAATCGCCGTTTGAGCTCATCTATTTTACTCATAGTGTAGATAAAAATCCTGAAAGAGTTCGCACCATTAGGCCTTTCTTCTCAAGTTATGATCATTTTTACTGAACTTTCAACCTATTGAAAGATATTACCAGAAAATTCGCAACAAGAAATTTTGACCTGAAATTCTCCTCAACAATAGCTCTTATGATATCCTGAAAGTTTCAGCTATTCTTAAGGAGAATTTTAGGTCGAAATTTCTTATTGCAATTTTTCTCGTGATATCTTGCGAAAGCCTGAAAGTTCAATAAAAGAATCATGATTCGAAAAGAAAAGCGAATGGCAAGAATCCTTTCAGAATTTTTATCTACAACTATCAGTATGAAACCAAAACAAAAATAATCACCTTAAAACAGTGTGCAGTATCTATAACAAAATTTTTCAACTTGATTAAACGTAGTACTTCGAAAAAAAAAGAACAAAGAAACATGCTTACAGATAATTTCATAAGAGCAATGTCATTCAAAAAATTTCGACTTGTATATTGTGGATGAACTACAATACGGTCAACTTTTCTTCTAATAACCCAAGGATCAGGAGCTAATCGATCATGAAGACCGAAAATAATATCATAGACACTTGTATCTAGATTTCTGTATAAAATTAAAAATATAAATTTATTTAAAAAGAAAAAACAATTTCTTTTATTTTACCCAACAACACAATGAGCGGCTGTAATAATCCATTCATCATTTATAAGTGATCCACCACAGATATGACTTCCTCTACGTTGCATTGATATCTAATAGTTCGAATAGAAAATATTATTTATCTGTTATTAAACTTACTAGCCATGGCCTTAAAACAAACATAAAATAGAAATGAATATTTTTAAAAAACTTTCAAATTTTAATTTCTTACCAATCACCTTTTATTGATTCTGTACCATTAACAATTTTAGGTGTTAAATCAGTCTCATCTACTAATGGACGGAGACCACAAGTATCTAAATAGATAACATTAAATTAAAGTAGAAATAAAAATATGAGAAACAAGCAGCTGTTCATTAAGACAGCTTCTCAGTAAATATTTACACGTTCATTTCATTCGAAATGATTGAGTATGTCTTCTCGTATGACTATAACAATCAGTTTTAATGCGTACGTTGATAGTTGTCATAACATGATGAGTTCAACTTTCAGTCAAATACTATTACTTTGAAAACTATTCTGGACTCAATACAAAAGTGTACACACACCAAGAAATATGAAAATAACATCTAGATTTGGGCTGTATAATTCAGTAACAAATGTTTAGTTGCTTCACGATACAAAATCGTAAGAAATGAACTAGATCTATGAGTTCCGATTCCTGTTCTAGGTCAATAAAATACAATTGAGAGAGTATAAATGAAAATGATTTTTGCGTCTCGAAAGATTATTTCCACCTGACCATTACCAGTCTACTTATTCAACTTAAACATAATAATCTCTCTGTTATTGCTCATAGATTATCTAGCCATAACATATGACAAGTACCTACCAACGCATGACTATCTGTACAAGTAATTGTCTTAAACACCCATAAAAAAAAAACATATATACCTTTTGGATAGTCAATAGCAAAAACACTTCGTCCAAAAATTGATAAGACAACAATAAGTTCGATCCACATCCTATTTTTGTACTTGTGTAGGCCTTATTTTACCTTCAATTTATATCATGATGATGGGAAAAAACAAAGCAATAACAAATGATGAGAATATTTACCAGCTGTGAATGATCAAGCAAAGTTTCATAGGATTTTTTTTTTTGCTAGTTGATTTTGTCGATCTTTTTAATTTTCATAGATCAACTAATGTAATGACTTTATAAAACTATGTTTTGTATATTTTTCGGAATAATAATTGTAAACATGAAGGTTTTTGTGTTCTCAAATTCATAATAAAAATTTTTGAAAATTACATTGCATTTTTTCGTTAATATAGAATGAGCAATCATTGTTATCAATTTATTAATCTGATCTAACTAAGAATAATTTTCATTTCATTCAAATTTTTTGCACGAAAATTGGAATATTTTTGTTGTGTAACATTTTCTTCTATCTCTTATTCGTGTATTATTATACCAAAAATCAAAAATGAATTATCATTTATTTATTCAAGATTTTCTCAAAACAACGAGTAACCCTCATCGAAATTCGATTAACGGAATAGAAATATGTATTTAGGTATAAATGTGCATTAAGTAAAGCATTAGATAAATATAAGAGGCGACTTGACATAGAACAGTGACTTGTCTAACAAAACGACTTTTTTTTTCGTTATATAAAACTTGACTTTTTATGTTTATAAAGAAATACCAATTTTGAATATGCTATACTTGTCTATTTAAATTCAGTTTATATATGTAATGTTATTGGTTTTTCGACAGAAATTTTGTCAAAGTTTTTTTTTTTTGATCATTGCATTGTTTGCAATTATATTTGCTTTTATTCTTTTATACTGTTCTTAAAACTTTGTTTTCAATTTCATTTCATAATTGAGTAGTGTGAATGAAAAATTTGTCGAATTCTGAAACTCCACCTATGATATTCAATCACAAATAGTAGTATATGGTTTTTGTGCTAGAATTTTTAATATTTTAGATAAAAAAACTTGAAATTGAGAATGATTCGATTTTTTCATCAGTCATATTATTCTGTGTCTTCTTTATATTTGAAATAAAACATATGTTATATATACAGTGAAGACTAAAATTATTCAACAAGGTTTATTTTCAATTTTTTTCCACTGCTGTAAGCGTCAGAAAAAAAATCTAAATAGTGATTCGAATAGACAAATTGATGTCTAACAAGAACATAACGAAATAGAAATTATTATCAGATTCGCAAAGATAGGAACTTCAAAAAATCAAAACTCGAGTTTTTAGCACCTAGAATACATAAACATAATTTTGTTTAGACTACATTGAACGATAGTGAACCATCCAAGTTTTCTGCGACATTTTTTGACTGAAATACAGCAATTTATTTGAAGGTCCAAAAATGATTTTTCTACAAGAAATTGAAAGAAAAAACGATTTTAAGGGTTTCCGTAAGATTGCTGGATCTCAGCTAAAAAGAACATTGCAAAGAACTTCGAGATGTCTCATTTTGCAGAAAATTGTTTACTCTGTCGTTCTATGTAGTCTCAACAAATGTATATTTACGCATTCTAGGTGCTGAAAAACTAATCTTTTGGTTTTCTGGAATTCCTATCTTTGACAACCTGATAATAATTTTTATTTTCTTATATTTCTTTTGGAAACAATTATTACTATTAGAATTCTTTCTAGCGCTTATGACAACGGAAAAAAATTGAATATAAACCTTGTTGAATAACTTTAGTATCCACTATATATTAATTTATAAAGATAACATAGAAGTCAATACATTTAGTTATATTAGAACTATTTCGATTTCAAAAAAAAAAAATTTTAATATAACATTATTCAAATGATATAATTTTAATTTATCATAATCTTATGTTGAGATTCACTCTCTAACTCTTGATAATGTTTACGTCATATCTACATGCAAATGCTATTGAACAATCGATCGAATCATTCAATAGTTTAATAATAATGATCATCATTTCTAAAAGCATTTCAGATCGAACAAATATATTCGTAAACAACCATCAATCCTTCATACATTGACGTATTTTATGACGCAGTAATACGATCATATTTCTCCGTATAACGTGTAAAGAAATACAATCATAATACTGAGTCACGTAATAAAACAAAATACAGTCGTAAATGAGAAATATCCAGTGTATACATATTCTCGAATTCTTCGTCCTAGGGTATTTTCCCACAGTTAATTTGAATCTTAATGCATAGATGTCCTTTTTTTGTCATCCTGCATAGTCATTCGTATCATATCTACCAGATGATCATTGGAATCATACTTACAATGTGGTAACTATGTTTGGAACAGACAGATATAAATGAATTTTCGTTTCTAGAACCTATCCTTTTAGTCTAAAGAATATAAATAGTTTGTTGGCTATTATTATCTCTTTCTTTCTGCTAAGTAGTTTTCTTCATGTATTATTTTTGTTTCTTTCGTCATTATTACTTTCTCTTTGTATACGTAATTATATTGATATATTACAAATGCAGGATGCGCATGATTGTTGATAATGCTTAGAAGTAAGAGGTATTTAAAAAAAAAAATTTAGAAGATAGTCAGACAGAATCTGTCTAGAAGAAAATGGCTGAGGAAAAAGGTTTTTTGTAAAATTTTGGCAGATAATTGTTACACAACAATTGAAAATTTTTTGCAAGTATGCCATCAAAAATAGTAGAGAAGGTTAGTCCTCTCAATTTCTCTTTAATCAAGGTATATGTTATTATGTTAACTATTGACGCAAATATTTTATTCGTCGGTTTAATCAATATATAAATATTCACTGTTTTATGCATAAAACAAAATGTGATGCTTTTCTGTTCTAAAATCAATTATTCATACATGATAGTGCATGAAAAATGATAGGTTGATATGTGTCAGTGATTGTAAGAAAGTTTTTTTTTATGTACTTCCTCATTTAGCCTCGAATATTCTGTTTTTATATATTTTATAATAATATGTAATCATAGAGCTTATATTAGTCATTTTAACAACAGTTACAAAAGGGTAAAATTTATTTCTTGGTTTTTTTTTGTTGATCGAAAAAAAAATACGCAATTAATAGAAAGCCTAGATCAAGAAAAAAAAAGAAATTAAATCACCATGTAGCTACTGTTATGATAAATAGAATGTGCTCTATTAATAGATTTTTTTTTTTTATAAAAAAGAAAAAAATTGTCGAGCTAAAATATACAAGTACTTCCTTGTAATCACTGATGTCTACAGAGGAAAATAAGGATATAGAAAGAATTAAAAAGAAAGAAAAGATTGTTGACAATTTGAATACGTTGTTTGTAGACAAAACAAACAATCAATGTAGATGCATTTTGATTTCGACTATTGTTGTTTTTTATTCTTCTATTTTGTTTATTATGTATATTTGAAAATTTTTTTTTGTTTTATTAAAACTTATGATGAAATATCATCCTATACAAATCATGAATATTTTCGATGGCTGTTTTGAATTCTATGTTGATTGATAGATGTATAACGAAAATTCTAAATTTATTTTCTAAGAATAAACATAAAAGATCTTTTGTTGTTTTTTTTTTCTAAATAAGACTTAATAATTCTGTCATCAATTGACTCATTGATGACTACTTATTTTTTTTGTTCTTCTAATACAAACAACAAATAAAAACGAACTTATGACTTTATTTTACAAAGGAAAAAACAATTCTTTATACACATGTAGATATTTTTCTTTTGTTCAAAGCCATATATGAGAAATTAAATAATTAATATGAAGAATGTCTTTATCTATCAGTTTTTAACCCTGATGTATCCACTTGTGATTCAAATGAATTCAATATCGTGAATAAATTGTTTTTCCTATTTGTATATAATCAATTAATCTTTTTGATATTAAATTGATATCGTATAGTCAAATTTCTCTTTTCTTTTTTATAAACAAACGTAATTCATTGAAAATATCTTTGAATTACAAGTGGACATATGAGGTTTAACTATAATCATGTGTATATTAGTTTTAATAAAAATTACTCAAGGTGTCTGTTGTTGAATATTATTAATAGCTCGTTGAATTTGATCAATTTCTTGACTTTGTTTTTCTATATGTTGTCTAATATGAAGTGCTTTTTGTAATAAGTCAAGCGCTGATTGTCGTTCACCATGAACCATATGTACAATAGCAACATGAAATGCATATGTTGCCCAATCAATTGTATTATCTGGTGCACATGTCATTGCTTGTTTATAACTTTCTTGAGCACCATCCAAATCGCCTTTAGCTTGTAATGTTGCAGCCATTCGTGCATGACTACGAGCTGTTTCAATTTGTCCATTAGTTGTTAAATCAAGTGATATACAAGCTAAATTTGATATAATTGATTCATCATTATCAATAGATCCTTTTCTTTTATTAGTAATACGTCGAATAGTACAACGATTTTTTGCATTGTGTGATAAAATGAATTGTTCAATTTGATCATCTTTGTTACGATCAAATGGTTTTTGTTGTTCACGATTATATTGTAAAACATCAAGTATACTTGGCCTCATTCCATTACCACCATTAACATTAGCTTTACATGTATTTATTAATTTTTCTACAAGAGTTTCATTACGACGTGCAACTGCATAATGTAAACAAGTATCACCAAATTTATCCTAATTAAGAAGAATAAATAAATAAATAAATAAATAAATTTTAATGCATAAAGAATAATTTACCTCTAAATTACTATCGTTTATATTAAGTTCAATTAAATAATTTAAACATTTTACTGATTCATGATGACAAGCTAACATGAATACAGTTAAACCTTGTTTATTTTTTAATGATAATGCATTTAAACATTGTTGATGTATTGCTGTTATACGTTCTTCAGGTATTGGTTTAGCTTGAGAATGAAAGCGAAGTGTTAACGCTTTTAACATTTCAACATCATCACGTTCAACAGCATAATGAGCAGCTGTATATCCATCCATATCTTGAGCACATGTATCACATCCACGCATCATTAATAAACGTATCCATACATATGGATATGCATGAATAACTAATACATGATGTACTGTCTAAAATATTAAATTAAAACAATAATTTAAAAGAAAAAAAATTTTTTATTATTATAATGAACAAAAAAATATTTACCTGTCCATGATCATTCTTCATTTGAATAATATCATTATGATAAATATCAAGTGAACGTCGAAATGCATCAAAATTACCATGACGAAGATATGAGAAAATATCTGAAGGCGTATTAGTTGGTGCTGTATATAGTAATGAACCACATACACTTGTATGATAAGGGTATGAAGGTGGTATTGTTGTTGCTTGAATACGATTATTTATATCTGACGACAAAATTTTCTCATCAACAGACATTTGACAATCTAAAAATAATTATATAAAAATTATATTAATATTTTTAATACTAAAACATGAAAATAAACTTTCTAACTAATAAAAATTATTATTTAGAAAGTCTCAATTCATTAAAAGAAAAAACTTGAATGATTTCTCACCTGTATTGGAATTTTCATCATCACATTTTAGACGTTTTGACATATTTTTATTTTTTTAATCTGCACGCAGCAACAACGGAACACGAAAAGCTTTTATGGTGTCATAGTCCTCAAGAAAAGAACGAAAAAAAAACAACTTCTACTTCTCTCTTCCTACATTGTAAAAAATAGATTTTTTCTTCCCTTTAATGTTTCATAGGCAACAGAATATTATTATTACAGGCTTTTTCCATATGTTCCAGACAGTTTTTTTTCCAAATTTTAAATCTTCAATATAAAAGACGAGTCTATTTTTATCAAATCGATTCATTATTGTCTTTACATTCTCATTAATAGGGCATTATATGAAAAATACTCAAGACACGTTTTTTCAAGGTCGTAGGTGCCGATAAGAAAAAAAAAGGAAGTGCAGAACGAGAAAATTACTTATCAATATATGTGTATGTCTTTTTTTCATTAATAATATCCATGACAATCTATTTGCTAAATTCTTCATATCTATACTTCCTTGTATTAACTTGAAATGTCAAAATGGCATTAAACATGTCGTTATTCACACTGAAGTCATGCGTCTTTTTTTTATATTCGAAATACTTAAAACGAAGTATTTTTTTTTTATTAAGTAATACCTGCAAACGAAAAAAGAAAAAAAAAGAACGTCGATGTATGTTTTCATCGAACAGCACTTCCTTTATTCAAATTGACCGCCTTTATATCATGAGATGTTTTGATTGCTAAGCATGATGTGTACAAAAAAAAAATTTATTTATCTCTAAGGAAAAGAGAAAGAAGTGTGTTATATAATTATATCCTGTCTTCTAATAATAGTAAACAAAATGAAAATAAAAGCATATTTTAATAGTTTTTTATGATTTTATTTTTCTTTTCTTCATATCTAAAGAATAATTTTTATAAACAAAAAAAAAACAATAATTTCGCAGAATGGAAGCACAAATACAGTGAGAAATAATAAACAACAACGAAAAGAAAACAATGCACAAATAAAGACAACGAACAAAAAAAAAGCACTTCAGAATAGATAGATGTAGAGTATAGTTATTAAAGGCAAAATAAGCCTGAGTAAATGAGTGAAATAAATAGGTTTATCTGGTACGTTTAATATTGCACACGTACAAAAACTAAATACACACTTAACAAATAAATATTCATATTTATCATCGGGAAAGAGATAAATCTAGAACGCCTTCAATTGGTGTTGTTTTTAATGGTATAATGTCTTTTCTTGTTTCAATATTTGTTGTTGTTGTCGTTGTTGTTATTGTTGTTTGTTCAATTATTTCTTCATATGATGATGATCGATTAGGACCAAGAGATAAATCAAGTGGTTGTTGATTTGTTGGTGGTGATAATGGTGGTAAAACATTAGCTTGTCGTAATAATTTTAAATCTTGTTCAATTATTCGTCGATTTATACGTGTATTTGGTCGATGAGATGTTAATTGATGTGATAAACGTTTTTTTGGTGGAGAACTTTTTCGACGATTTTTTGAATGATTATTACGTGATGCTGCTGCTGCTGCTGCCGCTTGAGAACGTGTTGTTATTATTGATTTACGGATTGGACGTATTAATGAATTACTATCATGTTCATCATCTTCTTCAATATCACCACTTGATGGATCATCTAATTTATTAAAGGAAAAAAAAAAGGAAAATGAATTCAAATATTATTAATTTATATACCATATTCAATTGATCCTGTAGATTTTGTTCGTTTTATTGTTGAATGTTTTTTTGATGAATGTTTCATTTTTTCAGGTTGAAGTAAATAAGTATGATCCATACTTGGACAAGGTGTAACAATAGTTGATGTTGATAACGAACGATTTTCATTATTTGATCTATATTGAATAGATAACATTAAAAAAAACAAAGATTCTTTTTTTGTTGTAGAAGTTCTTTGATAAGAATATCTTTTTTAGAGACTGAAATTTGTATTTAAAATATAAGACTAATATAAATAAACTATATCATCAAAAAAATCATCCATCAAGTTTATCAAGACTCGATTCATCGGACTGTAGACATACGAGATATGCATATAGGATATCAAAGTGTATCAAGTAAAGTATTAGATAAATACAAGAGATGACTTGATGTGAGAGTTGTTTCGAGATCATTAAGATTGGGGAAGAACCAGATGAGGAGGGTTCGGCTCTTGTTATGAATATTGGTAAGCAAAAATTACAAAAAATCATTCAGTTTCGTCGAGAAAAAAATGAAAAGACACTCCCTTTTGACATATAACAGCGACTCGTTTTACAAAAACGATTTTGAACAATTAAGTTCAGTTTATATGTACAATGTTATTGGTTTTTCTACAGAAGTTTTGTCAAAGTTTTTGATTTGTTGTATTGTTTGTAATTTTATTCGTTTTTATTCTTTTATAGTGCTGCTAAAGTTTTATTTTCAACTAAGTACAGTAAATGAAAAATTCTATTTATATATCAAATTCTGAAATTCTGTCTATGATATATGCTCACAAATAGTAGTATATGGATTTTATGCTTGAATTTTTAATATTTTAAATAAACAAAAAGACTTGAATTTGCGAATAATTCAGTTTCTTTTTTATCATTTATATTGTTCTATGTTTATAAAGATAACATAGAAATCAATAGAATTACTTATATTAGCGTTATTTCTATTGGCTTTTTTTAATCATAATCTTATATTCAGGTTCATTCTGTAACTCTCAACTAATGAGTACATCATATCCTTATATATACACTATTGAACAGTCAATCGAATTATTCAATAGTTTAATAGCAATGATCATCACTCCTACAAATATTCTAGATCAAATAAATAAGCTCGTAGACGACCATAAATCTTCGTGCAATGATGTATTTCATGACGCAGTAATACGATCATATTTCTTCGTATTGCGTACGAAGAAATACGATCATTTATGGAGTTCTTTTACGAAAAAAAATACAACTTCCGTTTTTTATGTCATACTCTGCAACATACGATCGTAAATGTTGAAATATCGAGTGTATATGTATTTTCGAATTCTTCATCCTGAGATATTATTTCACAATGCATGGGTCTATTTTTTTTTGTCATCCTACGCAGCCATTTGTACCTGTAAATTCCTGTTTCTAGACTCGATTCTTTCAATGTAGAGAATAACTTTGAACGACTGATTAAATTTAAGAAAAAAAAAAACTGAAGATATATATTTTTTACCCTCTATTTGGTGTTGATGTTTTGGGTTCAACACCTGATTGACGATAATGTCGTCGTTTATGTCGTTTGAGTAATTTAGTTGCCCATGGTGATGTTGATGAACGATGTTTTCCATCATTATCTAATGTTTAAATTGATTTATTTGAAATCAAAAAAAACTTTTTTTATTTCTTACTTTTAACAGATTGTCGATGACCTGATGATGAAGATGAACGAGGACGTTTACGACCTATTCAATAAATAAAAAAAGAAACTAGACATAAATCATATTTGAATGTATAACATTTACAAAAAATTCTTTATATTAGTGTTAGAATAATAAAATATTGTTTAGACACACTTGAAAAAAATATATCAAAGAAGAAAAAAAAAACATCTGATGCCACACATTATTACCATCTATTTGATTTTGTTCATCATTTATAAATTAAATCGAATTGTTACTAAAAATTTCCAAGATTAATTTCATATTATGAACTATTATCAAAAGAAAATTTTTCGAAATAATTGAGATATTCAGAAGAATGTAAATTTTTCAGTATAATACTTCGTTTGAATTTGTTAAGTCTGTCAATAATTTACAAAAAATAAACGATAACTATCAAGTCGTATTTACATCTATGAAAATTTTAAAAAATAATTTTTCTTGTTTGGTATTTATGAATTTCAAACAGATCTGTTTCATCTTTCACGTAATTCAAAGAAAAGTGTCGTTGTACATTTTCATGCTAATGAAATATATAAAAAAAAATACGAACGAGAGAACTACTCTAAGTAATAGGCGTGTTACATGAAAAAGTTGGTATAGGCTATCTTAAGAACGGCTGAACGTATCGAGCTGTCCGCTGGTTCTTAAGGGTTTCTCGACGTGCTCTTTCTTTTGTCTAGCGGACACTTTTGTCCAAAATGCTCGGAAGTAGGTTTTCTAGAAAAGCGTGGTGTTGGAACCAATGATCAAGAAAGGTTTTTGTTTTAACGGTCTATAATGATAGAGCAACCAATTCTCTACAAAATGAGATGTCTCTGAGCTCTCTACGACGTTTTTTGGCCGAGTTACATTAATTTTAGTGAAGAGCAAAAGCCATTTTTTCGTTTTTTCCCGGAGGAAATAGCAGAAAAAATGGCTTTTGCTCTTCACTAAAATTAATGTAACTCGGCCAAAAAACGTCATAGAGAGCTCAGAGACATCTCATTTTGTAGAGAATTGGTTGCTCTATCATTATAGACCGTTAAAACAAAAAACCTTTCGTGATCATTGGTTCCAACACCACGGTTTTCTAGAAAACCTACTTCCGAGCATTTTGGACAAAAGTGTCCGCTAGACCAAAAAAAAGAGCACGTCGAGAAACCCTTAAGTACCAGCGGACAGCTCGATATGTTCAGCCGTTCTTAAGATGGTTTTCTCATTGAACACGCCTATTCAGAACTTTTGTGTTGATATTTTTCCCATCAGTAGGATTTAGTACGACTAGAAAAAACTCAATAGGATAAAGCTTCGTACGTCTTTCTTACCGAATGATAAGTATCAGACTAGATTTATCACTTATAATAAGAGATTTACCAAAAATTCAAAGTACAAAAATTCGATCTAAAAAAGAAATGTTGATTTTCATAACGTTCGATGTCATGAATATGTTTCTTGAAGAGTTCATATCCCAAGAAACAAGTATTCATGATTGATTACTACATTGACGTCGCTATAAAATTTATGAGATCTATACGTAGAGAAAATTTCAATTCAAAATTTTGTACTTTGACTTATCGGTAAATCTTTTGTTATAAGTAATCAACCTAATTATTACAGAATTTATCAGCATATGCTAACATGTC